TCATATAGGTCAATCTGGCCGGTAATATTTTATCAGACTTACCTAAACACGTTGTAGAGGCTCATCGGCAGAGTGATGGTAACAGCACAACCTGCAAAATAAAACCAGAACACGTCTAAATAGGGTACAAAACACAATAAACATCAGACACGTTCCGATCTCTCAGTATACCCCAATCTCACTTTCTGAAGCTACGAGGGACGGTCATTTGCAATTGAACTTTTCTCCTGAACCGGATGGCTAGCAGAATCTGCCATCTGCGACTGCCCTGTGTGGGTACCACGGCCTGCAACATGTATTTCAGACCACTCAGAACCAGCCTCAGGGAATTAATGAGCATCTAAACCCAAGAACAAAAAGGTTGTATATTTCCGTATACCCGTCCATGTGTAGAGGGAAAGACTGCATTGGCTTTTTTTTTTTTCCAGATCTTGTCCTTATTATCACATGGTGATCCTGGCAGTGACACTTCCTGTCCAGGGGGTGACAACACTCACTGCACTGTTGGCACCCTAGGACAGGAAGTGTGTTAGGGCTACAAAACAACCCCCCTCAATGCCCCCATATGTGAACTGGGCTGAGTTGGTAAGGCTACTTGAAATATCAGACCAGGGTGCGACAGGGCTCACTGGATTTCAGGCAAGATCAGGATGTAACAAGGCTCACTGGATTTCAGGCAAGATCAGGATGTAACAAGGCTCACTGGATTTCAGGCAAGATCAGGATTGGACCGGCTCACTGGATTTCGGGCAGGATCAGCATGTAACCAGGCTCACTGGATGTGACAAGGCTATTTTATACATAGTTACATAGTATTTGAGGTTGAATAAAGACACATGGTGTGTGTGTGTTGTCATTCTTAAGAGTACCTGTACCCCTGTATATTACCTGTACCCCTGTATATTACCTGTACCCCCGTATATTACCTGTACCCCTGTATATTACCCGTACCCCCGTATATTACCCGTACCCCCGTATATTACCTGTACCCCTGTATAATACCTGTACCCCTGTATAATTCCTGTACCCCTGTATGTTACCTGTACCCCTGTATAATACCTGTACCCCTGTATATTACCCGTACCCTTGTATATTACCCGTACCCCCGTATATTACCCGTACCCCCGTATATTACCCGTACCCCTGTATATTACCTGTACCCCTGTATATTAGGTCCCTGAGGAAATCGTCCAATCGCGACTTGAATGATTCCACACTCTCAGCCGAAATCACAGCATGTGGCAGTGAGTTCCAGACCCTGACCGATGTAACTGAGAAGAAACCCCTGCGCCCCTTGCGCTGACATTTTTTCTCCACTAATTTTAGGGTGTGGCCTCTCGTCTTCGTCATCGAGTTAATTGTAAAAAGTTTGCTGCTGATGTCGCTATATAAACATTTTATACATGAAAATCATGTCCCCCCTTAATCTCCTTACCTCCAATGAGAACATGTTTATTTTAGTAGCCTTGTCTCATAGCTCAGGTCCTCCATCCCCTTTGTGAGTTTGGTTGCCCTCCTCCGGACTCTTTCCAGTTCAAGGACATCCCCCCCCCGTTCACTGGTGCCCAAAACTGGACCGCATACTCCAGGTGAGGCCAGGCCCGGATTTCCCACAAGGCCACCGAGGCCCGGCCAATAATTGGATAAAAAAAATTAAAAAAAAGTTATAAAAATAAAGAAACCGTAAAAAAAAAAAAAAATTGAAACTAGCCCCGCCCCAAGGCCAGGTTCCACAATAAGCCCCCCCCCCAACTTGATGTTCTGAGATAGTACTCGTTTGGAGAACACTCCCTTAGGCACTAGATCAGCACTCTCTACCAAGCACTCTTGTAGCTGTGATTTATTCCCCCATATCAGACGCAACTCACATCATCCACATATCACTATTTGATTATTTTCTCCCCCCCACCTCAAGCCCTTTCCACACCAATCTTATTCCGTTCCTATCCACTAATATTCACCAGACACAAACTAATCAATGACTGTTACAGTCTCAGTCCTCCAGGCAACCACACGCTGTTCACATGTTACTCTGTTAACCTATTACGTTGCTGATTAGATGTTCCTATACTATATGTTAAGAACGCAGCGGCAAATTAACATGCCAAATTTTAATTGCTCTGCAATATATCTTGATCGCTCCGTTTTGTTCTTGTTCTCTTGCAAAGTACAAGTTTCAGATTGTAATCTTCCGATTCATGTCAATTCTCATCGTAGTAATCATCATACTGACTATGTGATAAATCTGCTGTAACTAATCTAATTGTTGAATAAAAACAAGATGTTCAATGGTGGGAGCAACATTAGAGACAAACTATTTACAATTAACTCAGTTACAAAAACTAGAGGCCATCACCTAAAATTGGTGGAGAAAAAATTTCAGCACAAGGGGCGAAGGGGGTTCTTCACAGTTAGAGCGCTTAGGGTCTGGAACTCGCTGCCTCAGGCGGCGATTTCAGCAAAGAGTGTGGAAAGTTTTGGAGGATTACCTGAGGGACCGTAATATACAGGGGTACGGGTAACATACAGGGGTACGGGTAACATACAGGGGGACGGGTAACATACAGGGGTACGGGTAACATACAGGGGGACGGGTAACATACAGGGGTACGGGTAACATACAGGGGGACGGGTAACATACAGGGGTACGGGTAACATACAGGGGGACGGGTAACATACAGGGGTACGGGTAACATACAGGGGGACGGGTAACATACAGGGGTACGGGTAACATACAGGGGGACGGGTAACATACAGGGGTACGGGTAACATACAGGGGGACGGGTAACATACAGGGGTACGGGTAACATACAGGGGGACGGGTAACATACAGGGGTACGGGTAACATACAGGGGTACAGGTACTCCTAGAATGAGATCCTATAGGTTGGACTTGATGGACTAATGTCTTTATTCAACCTCAAATACTATGTAACTATGTAAATGAAAATATACTTGCAAAAAAAAAAAAAAATACAGGACAGGACCCTACTCGCTTTGTTTACAGCAGCTTGGCACTGCGAGTTATTATTCGGCCTGTGGTCTACAATGACCCCCAGATCTGTTTCCCTTTCGGACTTCCCCAGCGGAGCTCCCATTAGTGTGTAATCCGCTTTCTTATTTTTAACCCCAATGTGCACAACTCTACATTTTTCGACATAATATTTAACAGATTGAAACGCAGCTAACAAGAGAAGTTCTTCGTTGGGGTATACGCGATTTGGTTTTTGCCTTATGGTATGGTGTAAAAGGCGGCACACCTTTGTTAGACGCAGAGCTCCATATCATTGTGAAGAGGAATCTTACCGACGATCATGGTGGTGAAGAGATCACGGTACAAGATGCTGAAGAAGACGGGTTTATACCAGGCTTCCACTCCCACCACTGCAGTCACCAGGTACACCATGGAAATCGTCTGAAACAAACAAGAAGAAGAAGAAGAAGAAGAAGATTGGTCTCTTCCAATGCGAGATCAGGAAACAGCGGACAGGAAACAGCGGACAGGAAACAGCGGACAGGAAACAGCGGACAGGAAACAGCGGACTCACCACTTGGCTGAGGTCATATCCCCAGGGCAGGAAGAGGATCCCGGTGTTGTATTTCTCCCAATGTGACAGGATGAAGGAGAAGAGCACGACCCACAGGAGGAGGTAAAGGACCAGGACGCTGACCCCAGTCACCCCGCGCCCGAAGATGGAGTACACCGTCACCACAAAGTAGATGCAGGCCCAGCTGTCCAGCCCGTGGTCAAACAGTTCTCCCAGGGGAGTGCTGGAGTTGGTTCTGCGGGCCTGCTTGCCGTCCACTCCGTCTGCGATCAGAGCATAAAGTGCAATCACATTACACAGGTTCGGTATAAGCCGAGCACAACTTTAAAGAAGGAATACAAAAAAAACTGGAGACGGAAAACAATTTACTGACTGGAAAGAAACGACAAGAATATTACATTGAGTATCAAATAATCTGCTATTCTGCCCAATCACGGAAGAGCGCCCCCCCCATGCTGTGCTCCCTGTCAGCACCCCGTCTCTGCCTCGGGTCTAAATCCCATGTAAGCGCTGTGTCAATCAGTATCGGAGTCTATAACAGGGATAAAAAAAAAAAGAACTCCATATACTTGGTTACAAATAGTCAGTTTATTTGATGAACGTCTAACAGATCTGATTCAACGTTATTGATGATTGCATCGTTATGTGTATGGCATAAAGCAGTCCAGACGTGGACACACACACGGGGTCAGAATTTCGGAGGACTCACCTAGTGTGTAGGCTGTGAAGTTGATCAGTCCGGCTACTATCCACACCCAGCTGGGAACGTGTTCATGACCTGGTGCTAAACAAAGCAAACGCAGGGTTAACAAGAGCTGAAATAATAATCACAGGAGCACAACAATAATAACAGCAGCTGGAACCCAACTTTATCTACCGTGTTCAACGTGTGTGGTCGCTGCCGGCAGAAGACTACCCGATGGCCACCAGACCGGGCCGACTGCTTCCCTGAGGTGTGCAATCATTTATCCAACGCTGGACTAAGCCCATAATACATTACCGCAATGCATGTCCCCTTATATAAAAGGGTCTCAGCACCTGACATTACCAAAGGCAGCTCATAATGCGGGAGAGAGAGGGAGTGTGTCTATGGGGGGAATAGGGTGTAAAGGGACATGTGTGTGTCTATGGGGGGAATCGGGTGTAAATGGACACGTGTCTACTAGGGGAATCGGGTGTAAACGGACACGTGTCTATGGGGAATCGGGTGTAAATGGACACGTGTCTATGGGGAATCGGGTGTAAATGGACACGTGTCTATGGGAGAATCGGGTGTAAAGGGACATGTGTCTATGGGGGGAATCAGGTGTAAATGGACACGTGTCTATGGGAGAATCGGGTGTAAACGGACATGTGTCTATGGGGGGGAATCAGGTGTAAATGGACACGTGTCTATGGGAGAATCGGGTGTAAACGGACATGTGTGTGTCTATGGGGGAACTGTGTAACAGCAAAACCACATATTAGAAATAAAGGACACATACACTCCACATAGCGTGTTATTGGTTCCCTACCCTCCAGGCCAGTGTAAGAAATGTGTCAGATCAGAGAGGAGAAACATACCAGACGCGTAGAAGTCGGAATCAAAGAACGCCATCATCAGGAAATTGAAGACTAACAGCAAGAAACCGCTGAAAGTGATGAGATTGGGAGCCAGCCATGTGGGTAAAAACTGGAAGAGAAAAGAACATCTGTAACAACAACAACAACTCTGCAATCAAAATAATATCTTTATAGACAAAATGTCTGATTAGAACGTCAGCTCCGGGGTACAAAACTGCTGAAAAACACTTTGAATGTGACTCTCCGCTCCATCACAATAGCAAACAGAAGCAACTGTATTATCAGCAGAGAAGAACTCGTCTACATGTACCGGTAATAACACACTCAGTTCTAAGAGGCACTCCGGAAGAATCAAAGACTGACCCTGCAGTGGGACCAACACCCCCCCCAATGCAAGGGTTCATTACCTGTTTTGTTTTGGGATACCGCGAGCTGTAGCTCTCTATATACTGAGCTTAGGGTGACGGGAGGACGCTAGTTTGTGTCCTCCCGTTACCCTTAGGAGAACTATGGGGAAAAGCCCAGACCCCATAGTTCTCCTTTAACCTGATTCCTGGCTCCCTCTAGGCTGCTAGACCGTTCTCTGCAGCCTTCTCCTCCAGTCTCCGGTGGTTTAAGGCCCACTGACGTCAACACATCTTATATGCAGGTCCATTGACTTGCATTAGGGACATTCCATGGCCGGAGAGGAGAGAGGCAACCTCTGCTGGGACTACAGCTTTATTTCAGCACCCTGGACAAAATGAGCACGCGTGTGTGTGTGCGCGTGTCCATGCAAGGATCCTCTCCTTACCAGAGCAGCACCGGACATGTGTCTATGGGGGGAATCGGGTGTAAAGGGACATGTGTGTGTCTATGGGGGGAATCCGGTGTAAAGGGACATGTGTGTGTCTATGGGGGGAATCGGGTGTAAAGGGACATGTGTGTGTCTATGGGGGGAATAGGGTGTAAAGGGACATGTGTGTGTCTATGGGGGGAATAGGGTGTAAAGGGACATGTGTGTGTCTATGGGGGGAATAGGGTGTAAAGGGACATGTGTGTGTCTATGGGGGGAATCGGGTGTAAAGGGACATGTGTGTGTCTATGGGGGGAATAGGGTGTAAAGGGACATGTGTGTGTCTATGGGGGGAATCGGGTGTAAAGGGACATGTGTGTGTCTATGGGGGGAATAGGGTGTAAAGGGACATGTGTGTGTCTATGGGGGGAATCGGGTGTAAAGGGACATGTGTGTGTCTATGGGGGGAATCGGGTGTAAAGGGACATGTGTGTGTCTATGGGGGGAATCGGGTGTAAAGGGACATGTGTGTGTCTATGGGGGGAATAGGGTGTAAAGGGACATGTGTGTGTCTATGGGGGAATCGGGTGTAAATGGACATGTGTGTCTATGGGGGGAATAGGGTGTAAATGGACATGTGTGTGTCTATGGGGGGAATCGGGTGTAAAGGGACATGTGTGTGTCTATGGGGGGAATCGGGTGTAAAGGGACATGTGTGTGTCTATGGGGGGAATCGGGTGTAAAGGGACATGTGTGTGTCTATGGGGGGAATCGGGTGTAAAGGGACATGTGTGTGTCTATGGGGGGAATCGGGTGTAAAGGGACATGTGTGTGTCTATGGGGGGAATCGGGTGTAAAGGGACATGTGTGTGTCTATGGGGGGAATCGGGTATAAATGGACATGTGTGTGTCTATGGGGAATCGGGTGTAAATGGACATGTGTGTGTCTATGGGGAATCAGGTGTACATGGATATGCGTGTGTAAATCAGATTACCTCCAATACTGCACGATCAGGTCCGGAAAAGCAGAACTCTGATCAGTTTCTTTTTCCGGACCTGGCCGGAATGGGAGCTAACCAGGTGTAAACAGTCGTCCGTCCGTTTACACACATGGCTGCCCATAGACTTACATTGGGCATCCAATTGGGTCTGCCTGAAAAACTGACAGGTGGCCCCGATCAGACCGCCCGTGTGAAAGGAGCCAAATCCCCTACAGAGGGACAGAGAGTGAGGTCCGGCACTGGGGGGCCAATTTGGTTCTAGTGAACTGCAGAAGGCTGAGGACAGGTCTAGGGATGCAAGGATACAAATACTAGTATCATTATCGGTGCCGATACAGAGTATTCCGGCGAGTACTTGTACTTGCCCAAATGCTCCAGATACCGGAACTTCTGGATCAGGAAGCTGGACGGCAAGTCATTACTCACCCCCTGCCTTCCCGATTGGCCAGAAAGCTGGCTTCATGCTCCCTTGTCACCTGGTGATGAGGGATCATGGAGACTGCTTCCCGGCCAATCAGGAAGCCAGGTGGCACCCCATTACACGCCGCCTGGCTTCCTTAAAAGAGAACTACGGGGTAAATGTTTTTCCCCCCCATAGTTCTTCTTAGGGTCACAGGAGAACATATACTAGCGTCCTCCCGTGACCCAAAGCTCAGTATATAGCGAGCTATTGCCCGCGATATACTGAGGAGCGCCGCAGCCGGGACGGATCCCGACATTACTGTCGAGATCCAAACAGCTGCGTGACTGACAGCTGGCTCCTCCTATCTAGAGGCAGAGCCAGCTGTGCCCGCCCCCTCCCTCCACTCAGCGCTGGATGATCGGAGAGGGGAATCCCTGCGGAGACTGACAGTCACCGCTCACTGCAGGGAGAGGATCGGGAAGTGAGCGGATCGGCGCCATGTTTCTGCTCACTTCCCGATCAATAGAGCCGACCTGTGGCCAGCTTCTTTGTCACAGGCCGGCTCGATCTATGAGGATCAGTGGGAATCGCTCACCTCATAGTTCTCCTTTAATAGGACTTCCGGTATCTGTATCGGCAAGCACCAAATAATATCAGTACTCATACTCCATACACGGTGCATCCCTAGGAGTGTACTCCATACACGGTGCATCCCTAGGAGTGTACTCCATACACGGAGAATCAGTTGGCTGGCTCTACATGACTGGACAAACCCCCAGGTAGCCAATGCTGCTTCAAAGTGACAGCCGGCACCTAACTTTCTCTACTTGCCGTCAATATAAAAGTAAAAGATAAATAAACCCTTCTTGCTCCTGGATTGGTCAGACTGGCCACATGTCCCTTTGTCACACCCCTGCTGCAGCATTTACCAAAATCCAAAATAACATTTTCACTAGGCTGACCCTTTATGTGCCCATAAACCCACATTCCCATCATTGAAACAATACCATGGACAGGGAGGGAAACCTTAGTGTGTTACCAGGAAGGCTTGTGGTATCTGATACGGTGCCAGTACTCAGAGGGGAACGTATGTGGACAGAGCTGTGCAGGAGATACTTTGGTGGAACCCTGACTATATGGAAGATTCTCTTTGATGGATGCAGATTTGTGATTGTGCAGCTCCAATCCCCCGTCTCATGGTAGACGTGCGGTCCCTACAGAGGACAGGTCCATGTTATTCCTTTACGCTCAGGAGTATAGTATGAAATGCAATGAATACTCACTTTTACTATGAAGTTCCAGAACGGGTGCATAACATAGAGGGAGAGGGGATTGGTGTCCACCGCGCTGTACTGGAGAGAGAACAACAACTTGATTACTGCCAATAATAATATATTATATACACACACACACTAATATATATATATATATTATTTCAGGTCCTTGTACTAAACTGCAACAAGGAACTTTCCATTACTTTTCTTGCTGGGTATACACTCTGTATAAAAAATAAAAAGGCAGCTAGACTTGCTGCATTTTTCTTGAAGACGTTTCGCTGCTCACCCGACCAGCTTTCTCAATTCAGAATGACTGGTACAGAAATAATCTGGGAATAAATATGGTGAAAGTTGCTGCAATCCACATAATAATCTGTTAATCATAACCAGCACGGGGGTCAGAGACCTCATAGGGGTAAGGGGTTGATTGCAGTTGCATGATGTTATTAATCGGCCCTGACAGTTGTGTTAAAACAGCATTAACACCCGCCAGCTCCAATCATTTGAGAAAGCTGGTCGGATGACGAGCGAAACATCAAGAAAAATACAGCAAGTGCCGATGCTTTGATTTTTTTTTTTTTTACAGATATACTAGCACCTGGATGAATGAGAGCCTTCACAGATAATAAACTGGGTCGTTTATTACAATTTTAACCATATTAAAAACAACAGGGAAAAAAAATTGACGGAACAGATAAAACTACCACAAGCTATTCCCGTTACATCTGCAAAATGATCTCATCTATTGATCTGCCTTGATCAGTTTCCTCACTTTTATCCACCTGGGGACCGGCCACTGTGGTGACCTGGCTAGGATTCGAACCGGGGACACCCAGCCCCATCCCCTGCTGCAGCTTCTGATACTGATTGGGTCAGAAAGAGGGGGTGGCGGTCAGATTTTCAGCAGAGGGCAACCTCAGGTAGCCGTCATGGCCGCTTAGAACCGCTCGTTATCAGTAAAAGTGATCGTGTTGAAGTGCATCTCGGTGGGATCCGGCCACTTTCCGTCAGCCTTACGCTGGTCATACACTAGATTGCTTCAACAATCTACTTTCAACTAGTTTGGACACACAGACAAGGAGGTACAGTGGCTGCTGTCGCCAACATCTCCATCAGAAGAAAAAATTATTATATATATATATATAATAAAAATAATAATTTATATCTATAGCAGTGGTTCTCAACCTTTCTAGGGCCGGGACCCCTTGGTAATATTTGGCAAGTTGTGGTGACCCCCAAAGGTAAAATTTAGGGATGACGCGGCATGCTATTGCAAAGTGAAATAGCCAATAGGAATCTAGCTATGCATTCCAATGCTGATTTATTTTTATTTTTTCTGACTTAAGGCGGCCGGGGCTCCGATGTCAGAAATAATAATACATTTTTAAAAACGATCGCAGCGAAAGGTTTACTCTGCTCGATCGAGCAGAGTAAACTTTCCGGGAGAAAGTGTTTCTCTCCCGGGGCGGCCGGGAGCCGCTATCTGATAGCAGGAGACTCCCGGGGCGACCCCTGGCAAATTGTCATTCGACCCCCGAAGGGGTCCCGACCCACAGGTTGAGAACCGCTGATCTATCTGGAGTTCCACTGTGGTTTTCTTTTGCAGAAGGAAGGACTTCTCTAGAAGGAAGGACTTCTCCAGAAGGAAGGACAGTGTCGGCACCAATTCAGAGATGATTGGAGGATCTACAGCCGAGTGATACACAAATAAGATACATTGGGGGGGGGATTTATCAAAACTGGCAGCCCACGGCAGCCAATCGGCATCTCTCTTCAGTTTGCTCAGGTAAGATTTGAAAATGAATGATAGAAGCTGATTGGTCGCCACGTACAGCTGCTGCAGTTTTGATACATTTCTCTCCATGTAACAATGCGTAGTTACACTGTATTGCTCGATGACACTTGCAGATCACCCGCAAGAGAAGCCGATTGGCTGCAGTGCAGATCTGCCTCAGATTTTGAGAAATGCCCCCAATATGTGTTCATAGTTAAAAATGAACTTGAATGCAGTTTTAGATTCAACTCCTGGGTTTAGCGTCCCTGTAAAGGAGAACTATGAGGGGGGAGGGGCTTCTCACTCACCTCATAGTTCTAGCCGACCTGTGACAATGAGACAGTCCCAGGTCGGCTCAGTAGATCGGGAGGTGAGCGAACACATACTGGCGTTCGCTCATATCCTTGAAGGCCAACATTGGGCACCTCGCCCAGTTCCTATATTGTACACATCGATGGTTGGTGGTAGGAGTGGAGTCAGGTCACCAATGCGTCTCCAAAGTGACAGCTGCCGCCTAACGTTTTAGGTTTTCCTGGTTGCCGCCAATGAAGCTGCCTGCAAAATTGGATAGATTGGATTGGACGGAATGGCCCCTGGATTGGACGGAATGGCCACTGGATTGGACGGAATGGCCACTGGATTGGACGGAATGGCCCCTGGAATGGACGGAATGGCCCCTGGAATGGACAGAATGGCCCCTGGAATGGACAGAATGGCCCCTGGAATGGACAGAATGGCCCCTGGAATGGACAGAATGGCCCCTGGATTCCATATTAATGTGTCCACCCCTGGCCTCCAATGATGTCAGACTCCCATCAGACGGAGATTAAAGAAGGCGCCCAAGCCCAGAATTCTATAATAAATGTATACATTTTGCTTATTGGCTTTGCCACATTAAATTGGCATTACTGATCCCGACCAATGTTCCGTTTGCAAGTCTAGGTGTGCTTTAAATATGAGGAAACCCAATGGCCAGCACCAAGCCGAGACAATCCGTCCTCCTGTCCGTGGGTCTGCTGCACATTTCAAATGGTTACTAGTACGCAGCCAGCGAGCCGGCAATAATCATCGACATTCACATCAAGAACAATCTCCAGCGAGCCGTCTGCATGCCGGTGATGGACACGGACTTGCAGATCATACTTTAGACCAGCGGTTCTCAACCTGCGTAACCTCAGAACCCACATTTGTCCTCGGTCATTAAGTCGCGACCCAAGTCGCACTGCAATGGAACGCACAGCATTGCGGTACCGTGTTTTTCGGTGCGAGTGGGAGGTGCGTTTGGGGTGCCATTCAAAAGATCCACCCGGTCTCCATACCTTCGAACACGTGTGTCAAACTCAAGGCCCGCCAGGCCATTTCCTAGACTTCTACTTTCAGATCTCGGTATTAAGTTATTACTAAAACCGGTGATAATGGAACGCTGAGGCAATTATGATAAAGATTAGATACATAATTGTCAGGCCGAAACCGAAAATGTTTTGTTTATTTTAATTTATTTAAATCTTTTTAATATTTTATTAATTTTTTTATAAACTTTTTATATTTATTAATTCATTTTTTATTATATATTTTTATTTTTTACATTGCTTTTAGGGGCTTTGGGGAAATATTAGGGGTCTAAACAGACCCCTGATGTTTCCCTTTTAAAATAGAAAAAGAGATTGAGAACACAAAGTCCTCAATCTCTTTTTCTGTGTCCCCTGTTATCAATGAACAGGAATCCTCTATGAGTGTTCCTGATCATTGATAACATGAGGACGGAGTATGTTTACTATACCTACAACTATGAATGAACAGGAAGTGATGTAGGAGGTGATGTAGATCACTTCCCATTCATTCATAATTGAGGATATAATTAACATACCGTGTCCTCAATTATCTACAAACACTGATCGCCGATTGTTTGCGCTCGCTCTCCTCTCTGACACGCTGCATCAGGAGGCTGATCGAGTGGAGCAGGGAGGTGAGCTCAGCCTCCTATGACAGCGGCGGCTGTCTCCGCCCCCACACAGCTCTGCCGGACTGTGATAGGCGCCTGAGCGGTGTGGGAGGAAAGACGCCGGCCGTTCACAGCGCTCTCCCCCCGCAACGCTCGGCCGGCTGTCACTTTCTTTTCTCCCCGCTGGAACACAGAGCAGCGCCCAGCGAGGAGGAAAGAAACCTGGGATGTGCCGATGTATCGGCAGGAAAATGGCTCTTTAAGCATTATGCCAAAAGTGCCATTTTTGTCCGATATGTTTCGGCGGCCGATATATTGCCGCATCCCTACTCCTAAATGTACATTATTTGTGTCTTTTTGTTTTTTAAATGAAGCCGTTTAGATTAAAAGTCCCTATTTCACACCCGCAGAGGGGGCCCCATTGCATAGCTTAGAGAACTGATCTACGAGACTCAAGGGATCTGCTGTGGGCAGGTGACGCTGTATGATCCAATGATGGCTGCCACCAACCGCAGAGGTTCTCCAGCAATTGGACTGGCTGAGGACTGGAAGGTTCATCCAACCTGTGCTGGTGACCGCCGTCATAACGTGATTACCGGTATGATTATTCCGTACATACATTTTTACATCACGTGATTAATATTGTATTCCCACTGGACCTCTCCATGATACACAGTTCTTGTCCCCCTGAAGAAGCCCAGCGGGGAGCGAAACATGTTGGGACTATTCTGAATGAATGATTAATCATGCTGCACAAATGAATCACGCGATGTACAAATGTATGTATGGAATAATCATGTTTTATAAACAATGGAATTTTAATCTTTAAATAATTGATGTATGAACTGTTATACATAGCAAGAGAGTATTTCTTCAAAGCCCCTCCCCCTGGGGTCTCCGCACAAACCTTGGGTGGCATTCATCCAAGTAGCTACTAAAAGAAAAGTTGTAGATCGGGGGTAGGCAACCTCAGCACTCCAGATGTGTTGAAACTTCAAGTCCCATGGAGGCCTTGCAAGACTGACAGGCCACAGGCATGACTCCCAGGGACATGATGGGTTTTGGAGTCTCACTACATCCGGAGTGCCGAGGTTGCCCACCCGCGCTGTAGAATATACACTATATTGCCCATGAGGCCTTGCAAGGCCGATGGCCATAGGCATGACTCCCAGGGGCAAACGCACCATTGGATTTGTAGTCTCACTACATCCGGAGTGCCGAGGTTGCCCACCCGGGCTGTAGGATATACATTATATTGCCCATAAAAGGCATTGCAAGGCCGATGGCCATAGGCATGACTCCCAGAGACAGGGACATGATGGGTTTTGGAGTCTCACTACATCCGGAGTGCCGAGGTTG